AAACCTTCCTTAAGAATCACTCTATCTATTAAAAAAAACCGCATCAAAATCCGTTGCGTAGTTTTAAAGATCTAAGCATACATACGGACATACAGCGAAAGCGACTTTGTTTTATACTATGTATTGATGCGTAGTTTTAAAGATCTAAGCATACATACGGACATACAGCGAAAGCGACTTTGTTTTATACTATGTATTGATAAGAAAAAAATGTCAGTCTGTAGGTCAGTCCTCTAGTGAAGCTATTTGCTCGTTCCAAAGTGTAGATTCCTATGGAGAAGAACGAGCTAGAAACTCCATAGGTTACTCTTTTTCAATCATGTCCACAATACAATTTTTGGTTACATTCTTCCGTTGAGTTCAATAATGAATACCATTTAATACCATTTATACTAATGAGCTCATGTATTTAAACTATATTAAATATTAATAATAGTATTTTTGTACTTGCAGTTTAAAGATGTTAAAGACAGCCCAGTTATTGTAAAACCAAGAGCACCAGCAGATGTAAGTAAAGACATCTATACTATTATACATAAAATGTATAGTGTGAAAATTCCAATAGTTATGTTCTAAAATTATTCCAGAAAAAATCTAGCTTACTAAGTATGCTACCGCAGCCAAGAAACGGAGTGAAGTCTACTACAGTGTCATTAATACCCCAAGTGCTCAAAAGGAAGCCAGAAGCTCCTGTAAAAAAAGCCCCCTTACCAACACCACCTAAGAAATGTAAAGTTGATAGCACGCCTCTTGTCAATGAATATTCTGATGAAAGTGATAATGAAGATCTACAGAATGACTTCTTCTCAATACACAAACCTGTGGAAATACCTGATGATGTACAACTACCACTAGACATAGATCAAAACACAAAGAAGCCCAACAAACCTAAAGGAATTGAGTCTTTCTTCAAGAAGGAGGACGAAATCAAACATGTGGTATTGGAGCCAGACTATGATCAAAGTATGGAAGAGCAGGCTGGTGGTTCCAGTTATGATGATGCTACTGATGGAGCTGAGGGTTCCAACAATGATGTACTACTTAATGAAGAAGCTGTAAGTATTCACATTCTTAAGGTGGGTACAGATTGGTGCAATGCAACATGTAATGTAACATTCTGCCTTACATTGCATGTTCCCTGCTGCCTTGGACGTGTGGCGCGCGCGGTACGCGCATTGACTACGAATCATTCGAGAACATCTGTTCCCGCATTTCGTTACAAACACTAGCCCTCGTCACGCGTGTTCTTTTCTACTTAAGTCGATATACACGAATCATGGAGTCTGAAGACAGCCTTCTTGCTCTGACGATTATCAGTGCTTCATTGTTAATCATTCATAAAAGTTTTCATTTTGAGGGTTCCATAAAACTTCCCTTGTTCTGTATTTCTCTATCAATAAAAGTGACTCGTCATCACGCCACGCGCCCTCTTTCACCGCCATGATTAATGCGCATGCGAACGAAACGACCGACCGTCCACGGCTGAGTCCTGCGCACACTGTGCGCCCCTTTGTGTTCGTACTAAAAACCGACAAGTCTCGGATCGAGCCGCGCATGAGTTGTAACGCTCGGAGCGTGCGCGACCCAGGCGCAGTTCGTGCGCGCGTGGCGTCCACACTATGGGAATCCTGTTACATTACATGATACATTGCAGCAATGTGGACCTCAAATTCTTGCATTGCATGTTGCATTACATGTTGCATTGCATGTTGCATTACATGTTGCATTACATGTTGCATTACATGTTGCATTGCATGTTGCATTACATGTTGCATTGCATGTTGCATTGCACCAATCTGCACCCACCTTTACCAAACCATGGCAAAGCAAAAACAACAGTTCCTATAGCAGTAAACCGTACGGAACTTCGGAGCTATGCCTGACACGGGCGGTGCTGGGTAGTACTCTGGCCATGGCTGCTAGGGTATGGGCAGCCATAGGGGCTGCTTACATTGTCTCTACTGCTAATGACAAGAGGGTGTTTAATCTATTACATAAAATATTCTCTCAAATAGTAAATCTTTTTGTAGATCATGAAACTGTGTGGTGCACGTGGCAAACGGAAACGTGAGGAGATTCAGATAGTAGATGTAAATCAAGCAGAGGTGTTGGCAGATGCAAGGGAGATGTTGATGAAGGGACTCATGGACGACACTACTAAACGTGTGTCTGCTAGCAAGAAGAAAGGAAACGAGCCCACCACCCAACAGAGGAGGAAGCACCAAATCACATATTTGGCTTATCAGGTAAACATAATTGCATTATACCAGTTCTAACAAAAACAGTTTTAAAGAATTCACTCTAGGATTTCTAAGAAGTACATATTATATTAGATAGACATTAGTAATTTATTGATGTGTGACTCAAACCAATTTTAAAATCCAATATTTTTTTTTTTTCGTTTTACAGGCTAAAGCAAATGAAGCAGAATTACAGAACCAATGGGCAAACAACAGGATGTCGAAAAGACAAACACAAGCTAAATATGGTTTCTAGCACAAGGCCAATCAAGTGAATTTCTTTAGAAGACATTAAAAATAATATAATCAATCAAACAAAGGACTATCTACAACAGACAGTAAATAAAAATACAGTTCCAAGCTTCAAGTTTTGTTTATTTGTACATGCTGACTGTAGAACTACTTAACAATTAATCGGGTTAAATTACAATCTTCTAGCTTTCCTTGGTCGCGGAGGGTTCCATGATACATGGGTATTGTCTGTGATTGAGACTATATCTAAGCCACCCATTTGTAAACCTTTTACAGCTGCCTGTAAATAATGCATTCATGTTGTGATTAAACTAATATTAATTTCTGTAAACCAATGTAACTATTGATAAAAAAACTATTGAAGAATGATATTTATAAGTTTTTCCTACCAATCTGCCTGGTCCCAATCCTTGCACTCTTACTCTGATGGTTTTAAACCCTCTATCGATGGCTTTCTGGAACATTTGTAAGATTCATCATGATATTATTACATGAGTAAAGGTTTATGTGAAGGACTGTCGGGCAGCACTACTGCCACGGTGCCACTGCACACTATCATGTAACATTTGTATGGAGCCTTACATACAGAACCTTGATAAGAAGCATGATTCTTATGAGAAAATGTCTAGAATTAGAATGTGTTAAGAATGATATGAAAGAGTTTCTGTCTCATAATGCATACATTGAAAACCTGGATTTATTGTGTGGTGAAACCTTCACTTTGAAACTTGTGAAGAAAAACTCACAGTAGCTATGGCAATGGCAGTAGTTTGAGCAGCAATATTGGTTCCTTTCTTGGTATTCTTAAAGCCTTCCATCCCACATGATCTGATGATCTTCACAGTGCCACTGGCATCAGTCATCGTAAATATGGTGTTGTTATGGGAGACACGGATGTTGCAGATGGGAAGCTGTTTGTACAATATACCTCCGAATATTTGATTATCAGATTCTAAAGTTGGAAATAAGTTTTGTTTTCTGAAACAAGCCAATTAGGTATATATAAAAGAAATTGTTTTTGAATTGCAAAAATAAATTCATAAATACACACGTCTTCAGCACTGAGTCTAGATCGATAACTTTCTCTCCTTGGACACCTTCGTCTTCTTTAGGTATTCTTTTGTGGTCAAACTTTTCTGAAGCTTGGGGGACTGATGTCTGAAATAAACGCGCCATACCCGCTACAGGATTCCGTAAAGTATTTCTGACAGCGTTAAGCATTCTTTTTATTATATCTTTTCAACTATAAGTACTATAAAATCGGATTGTTTCCTATATAATAAATAGGTAACATTCAATCTCTGCAACTAACCTAAAATTCTTAAAATATTTGTCACTGTCACTGACTGACATTACTGACATTGAAGTTTCATTTTACGAAGCTTTGTAGGTATCTAGTTCTTGTTTCTTCCACCAAAAATGCTTAGAAATAGTTGTAAAACCGAGGACGTTTAAAAAAAGGGTTAACTGTTTTTCATATTTAATTTTAGCAAATTTCTTTTTTTCTTTATAACGCGATGAGTATCCGACAACGGGGTGTGTGCCGGACTCTTACCAGCTAGTTTGTTCCTCCTTTGCCTGTGGAACGCGAACGCCCTTGCGTAATCACCGCACCCGGCAGGCCGCGACGGCGCGACCTACCACTATATTGCGGCAGGTCCCACCACAAAGCAAACCTTGTATGCTGATTTCTTTCCTCGAGTGGCGCGCGTGGAGCATAACGCTAGCGCCTACTCCCACCCATACAGCGGACGACTTACTCCCCTGCCCCTAGTCAGTCGCCCGCAGGCCTCTACTATGGAGGTCGCAGATCAACTACCACAACGCGTCGTTGCCGGGCGGCACGTCTGCGGCGGGAGAGGAGGGAACTGGACGCCTCCCTCTCCCTTTCAACTGTCTCCTTTGCCAACATGACGCGTTCGCAGAAGGAAGCGTCTCTGTCTCATGACTCTCATGCACTCTCACTATGGACCATAGCTCGCACTACGGTCGGCAATGTGAGATCATTCCCGTCGAGCACTGCAACGAGTTCACGATGCAGCTCTGCCCATGCAGTACCTACACTCTTCGAGCGTATGCCCTGCGCTATCCTCCAAATTGTCATTGCAGTGTTGACACGCCGACGTCTGCTCCCGTCTTATGCGAAACAAGTACTTTCCAAAGTAGTCATGTCCGGAAAGCACCTGCGTCAGCCGGAAGCTTAGGAAACCATGTCCTCTGCCGATCCACGCCTCCATGACGGGGCCGACCGTCGTGTTACCCACTCTTCTATAATGTCACGACGGAGTTCTGTCCGCCGTGCCTAAACAACTCGAGGTGGACATCGTTCGCCTCGGGCAAATTTTAGCGAAATGCGCTAGCCGATATAACGGTATCGCTGTGTTATCCTATTCACAAAATAAAATAGTGGTAATAATTTCCTAACATAAATTCGTGTTTTATTCTAGTTATTTTAAAGTATTGGTACTAATCTAAGATACATATCCATGCTTCGTTAGCTTCATGTCATTACTGTCACACTAGTATATGAATGCGAAAGTTTCTTTGTTTGGATGTTTGTCCGTCAATCTCGCAGAAACTACTTAACGTATTTTAATAAAATTTGGAATACCTACAGGCCTGCGATAGGATTTTTATTATAGATTTCCGACGAAATCTATACATTTGTTTGCTTGAATCACACATGTCAAAAATCTTTCAAACGAGGGCGGCACGTTGCACAGCGGTCATTTTCTAAAACGCTTAACGGGCATTTTCTATAACCTACATTATAATACGTCCATGATAACCTATCTATCTGTAGATTTGCTTACTGAGACAGAATTTTGACACGTTTTGTATGGAGCTTATGTCAGGTAGGTTATGAAAATGGCCGAAGTCGATGAGTCGATTAAAATTAGAATAAAAAATCTTAAACATTTAATACAGTCCCTTATTTGGGGAGTTACTTCGGGATCCCAAAGCGAACGTAAAGATAGATAAAATAATACCAGCAACTCTTGTAGCCATAATTTATTAATGACACATATATAATATAGACATAGATCAGAATAAATAGAATGTTTAATCATCTAAGACATCTTTGCAATAAGCAAAGGCTCGGGCGGATTCCGCCATCCCGGCCGCCACGGCCTGCGAGAAGCCCCGCAGCGCGGCGGGCAGGCCGGCGGCGGCCAGGCGCAGCGACCCGGCCTCGGCGCACAGGCCGGCCCGGGCCAGCTCGCGCGCCGCCCACTGCGGGCTGTACGCGCCCGCCTGCTTCGAGATTATGTAGTTTATGAACGACGAGTACAGCGGACACGATACCAGTTTTATGAACATGCCATTATCTAAGAGTTCTTTTAACAAGTCTTCGTCTACTTCATGGTTTTGGAGAAATATCTGAAAATACAAACATTCAATACATGTAGTCAGCAGAGTTTGGAGGGAGAATCTCAGTCGAAATGAATTTGCTTTTACCTTATGCTGAAGAGCTAAGTTCAAGATGTTATCCTTGAAATGTTCTGATTTGCTGAGGAGTAGAACCCAAATAGCATTGATTACAGATTCAGGAGCCACATTGTCAGCGAGCCAATTCACCTCCTGAAATCAGACCATAAAACATTTAATTCAATTTACAATCTTATCGTTTCTGGCAAAAGGTTCAAAATATAGAGTAATGCATGAAGTACCTCTTCAGCAAGTACAGGGCGCTGCAATAGTAACTTGATGAGCATTAAGTTCTCCGTTTGATCTGATTTGTCGGCGAGGAGATGGTGCACGTATTCACAATGCAGGCTCCTCGAATCACTGCAAAACAGTAACAAATGTTGAAGCATTATAATTTACAACAATCCGACAACAAGGAAGAACACAAATATATGAGTAAGTGACGAGTGAGCCAGTAAGGCACTCTCCGTGCTGCGCTACGCGACCTGTTTCTAGTGGGCGGCCAGCACTGCAGGATGTCCACCAGCGCCTTCTTGCGCTGCCAGGAGTCCGCCAGCGACAGGAACTTGCTGAAAGCGTCCCGACGACCTTCCTCGCTGAGTAACATCTCATCTGCGAGAACAATTTACACGTGTCATGCGTTATACAGTACTAACAGTATACTTCAGTTGCAACTATTGCCAGCACTTTAAAGCGAAAGAAGTTTTGACGAAGTATTAACTACCTACATTTCGCAGCCCCAGGTCTATGAAATGTATTCAAAACTTCGTCTTCAATAGACCGTCGACTTAATACGAAAATCGTTCAAATTCAATTCAGTTCACTGATTTTATAGCCTGTGCTAGAAAATAAAATAGGTAATACAACTCACCAGTCAACTTCTCGGTGTAGTCAGAGTCTGGCCACTCAGTGCGGAATAGCTCCATAGTGTACTGTGCTATCTTGAGCATATCGTCACTATCATGGACCCTCGTCTTCTGGCTCAGAGACAGCAGACCAATCTGCTTGTGGGGAGGCAACGCAAATTCTGAAGCTTTCTGCATCACTGTCTCTAACAGGTCCTCGGGGAGCTTCACCCCTTCTTTACTGTACGCCGTCATACGGGACACCAGAATCTCCACGTCGCTGTAACCATGTCACGGTCACGGTATAACAACGTTATTACCTTCGATTATATAATGTCTAGATGGAGTGTCAGTTCACGAAAAGCGGTTCAAGTAGTACCAATCATGTCACCTAGGTGTTCTACGTGAAACATTTGAAATTGTGCTAAAATTATACATGACGGTTAAAAAGTACTAAACAGATCGCTTAATGGATAAGCGGGTAATTAAAAATTATAATATTCAATGTATGTCTTTAACCTAACTAATTGCCGCCATATTTTATTAGTTTTGCCAATTTATTTTTTAATATTCCCCCCTCGCGAGTCTCATAAAGAGGGAAAAATTGTAAAAAATCTCACTTGCTTGAGAATTAAAATAATAATTTATTATTAATTGAACTTACACAAAAAGGTTCGATTCGATTTTCGATAGTTATTTTAAAATGATTAAATCGATACAGATGATATAATATATTTTTTGATTTTCTAGAACATTTAAAAAAAAAGTCTTACTATTAATATTTAATTATTGTTTCAGTATTGTTTCATAGGTGAAATAAATTACTTATATGATAAAATATTAATATCAACGCAGTGTTCAATAAAAAGAACCTTTAAAATGGAATTCAAAGAGATTGTTACAATTGTGTGTAGCACACATGCAGGAAGTTTTGCAACGTCATTGTTGTTGCTATTATATGGTGACGCTCTATCAAGACGTAATTTATAATCTAAGGTTATTACATCATACAGATGAGCGAAACATATAATTCATGAAACACTATGATGGCACGTAGCTCGGCCAGCTGTACCTGGCGGAGCGGCAGTGGCGCGCGACGTGCCGCAGGAGCTGGTCGGGGCTCGCGGCCACGTGCAGACACTGCAGGAGGCGCGCCAGGGCGCCGGCCCGGATCTCTGCCTGCAGCAGGCCGCGCGCCAGGCAGTCCATGAGCCGCTCCGGGTCGCCGTGGCTCTTCTCTATTTCTCTGTAAGTATACAAATATACATCTTTACGTCAGCTTATATCGAACACGAGAATGCTGCACAGCTTGTTGTTTTGGATAAAATATAGTCTGGGCTTAGTATGTACGAGTTTGTTTTACATGTAACGGGATCGTAAGTCGTAACGTTACCGTTAAATTTGAAAATGGTGACGCAGTACTCACGGCCAGACGTGGAGCGCGGGCAGCGCCGCGGAGCGCAGTAGGTGCTGCACGGTGTCGGAGTGCAGGTTGTCGAGGAAGCGCGCCCAGCGCGACAGCTCCTGCCCCACGCCCGCCCACGACGGCTCCTGCCCCGCGCCCGCCCACGACTGCTCGCTGCAAGCCGTACCCCTGTAGCTTCACTATACTCGCTATGCATCCATGTTATTGTAAATGCGAAAGCAACTGTATACCTGTCTCCTTACACGCTTTCTATTAACAATTATCAAAGGACCAATTTGGATGTTTGTTGCAGATAATAAATATAAAACGACAATAGGGACGCACTGAGTATGAAAATTAAAAGTATTTTATACCGTCGTCAGTTAGATAATATTAGGTGTTTACCTCTGAAATTACCGTCCGGTAGTACAAGCCATTTCAAATCAAAATAATTTTTGTTCGGCTAAGAATTCTAATTTCAAATTAATTTTATTTTAAGAACATGGTTTTTTTCCAACAGTAGTCATTTGTTTATTGTGTTACATTTTCGTCGCATTTTAAAATGTTTCGTCACCAATGATGGAGAAGCTGGTACATCTCCAACCAGCATTGGTCAATCGGTCGTCTCCGCTACTCCTCCACGACAACGCGCGACCTCATACTGCGCAGCAGACGTCTCCAAGTTGCAAGAACTGGGGTTGGAAGCTCTCCGTCATCTGCCCTACTCACCAGACCTTGAGCCTACAGACCTTTTCCAGAATTTGGATAACTACTTGGCGGGAATAAAATTCAATACCCGAGAGGCGGGTCGAAATGCCATTAAAGAATTTGTTGCCTCCCCTCCAGCTGATTTCTTTAAGAAGGCAATAATCAATAAACTGCCTCTGGGTTGGCAAAGATGCATTGATTGCATGGGTTTCTTCGATTAATACAAATAAAAATACCGAAAATAAAAACAGAACGTACCGACCGAGGAGTTGCCGATAAAATTTTCACCCTGATTTTTTCCGATCCGGATTCTGTAGATTCCTTACAAGCATTTTTGAGAGGATAGGAGATTTCACATAGGAACACATATATATAGGAGATTTATGCACATACCGCACATAGGAGATTTCATCTTGGGCACCCTATGTGCGGTTCATCAGAAACAGCTAACGGCCGGAGATTATGACAAGTTCCTAAAGTATGTACCACAATCACATGAGCATTAGACCTGCAAACGACTACACTATAAAAAAACGAGCCGCTTCCACAACTGCTCATACAAATGTACTTTGTTAAATTGTAGAAAATTGTGAGTAGTTTACTTTTGTAGTTAATGGTTTTCTCGTACAATGCACAGAAAAAGAGATATCGTAAAACAATCAGTTTTTGGTCGCCATTTTTCTAATATCGGCGGCGCGAGCGGCTCACGTGGAAAGGTGCAAAATGGAAATCGAAAAGTGCTCTTTGAAAATTGATGAGCAAATCAAAACCTAAAATTGCCGATTTTCCAAAACCGGAAAACAGGTAAAACTTACTGAACTAATATAAGAACAACTGAATCAAATTCTTGTGATATCAAAAAGCAGCTATTTCGCATCGCGCAACTCAGTCCACATACCGCGGCGTAATCGATGTACATACAAAGATACCGGCCGAATTTTTTTTTATAGCATTTGCCGGTAAATTTAGCCGACGGATCGCCTGATGGTAAGTAAACGGCGCCGCCCATGGACACCCGCAACACCAAGGCGTTGCAAGTGCGAATATATAGAGGATAAAAATGTCCGGCTCCAAAGGATAACTAAAACACTTGTTTTAATGAAATCGTAAATAATACAGCCATATTGCTAAATTGTATATTGTTTAACTTAGATAACGATTATAAATGTGAGAGCCCTGTAATCAACTTAATATTAAATTAGATTAGTAGATTTCATCTGTGTCAGCTTGGAGTTGTCATGCTCACTCAAAGATCTCATTGGCGGTGGCGCGTGCAGTGGATCGCTCGATTCCCTACAATATGGTTGAGTTGGGCGGTGCTGGTGTACGTGTCATGTTCGTGAACGGGCGCCGTCAACTGGGACTGGTCAGCTCCGGACTGTATTATTGTCCTTAAACTGTCAAACACCAAGCGGTCACCGGTGACCGCAACCTATTGTTCTATAATTGTGTCTATAATGAAATGACGGTACTCGACGAGTTAAGGTTATTTTCTTTTTTGATCACTTTGACTAGATTTTGGTGTTACATTGTTCTCGCACAATCCAAACAGCAAAACTATGTAACTATACTCGGAATTTTAATTCGATTCCAGATTTGACAATTTCAGTGTTGCAACGTTATGACAAGTACTAAATAGTGACGTTGCGAAATTATTCGATATGGAAATGCAATATTTCTGGATCGATTCTTCTCGTTTATAATTTTACTCTCGTAAACTAAGTATATCAGGAAATTAAATATTTCTGAACCGATAATTTAGTTTTGACGATTAATTAACGATCTGAGACTTTTCTTTTATAATTGTGTGTGAAATAAATAAAAAAATGTAATCATGAAGGAACATGACAAATAAAACAGATAGATGTATTATGGTAATAAGTTATTTTATAAATTGTCGCCGTCATCGCTATCGCTATCCTGTCACTTTCTGTAACATTTATTATAAAACACACACACTGATTGTTTATCGATTTTTGTGTTCATCACTACACTATTATATGTGGTATCATTATTTCACAAAATGACAGTAGCTATTGTCAAATCTGGAATCTAATTAAAATTCTGACTATAGT